ATTTTCTCGAATTATTTTCTCGGCTTCGTGGTCAAAAGCGTTTGTGCTTACTTTTGTTTTTAAATACTCTTCAAAACTGTGATAAAACTGAGGAAATGGAGCAAGGTATGGTTCCAACGGGGAGCATATAGGATCAAATGTGTCCGCGCTAATAACCACTAGGGAGCATAGATGCGAAAGTAAAACATTGAGTTCATTAAAAATCTTCATTGGGTCTGCATTATTGCTTTCGAACAACTTGTTTACTTTTTGCACCTGAAAATTAGGCAAATAGTAAAATCGGCTAAAAACGGCTAACTTTTTGTTACAGACCGGCTAAAAAGTCGGCTGCCGGCTAGATCGAATTTTCTCCGGCTAGTTGCTATCAAAATCGGCTAAATCTAGCCGGAAAACGGCTAAAATGGCAACGCTGGTCCTAGGCGGTAGTCACCATCGGCTCTCTCTGCACTACCGGCAGTTACTAAAGTAGTCACGTGGTTTATGGGCGCCCTCTGTCGTAGTTTTTCGCTCTTCTGCTTACGACTGGTTCGACTCTGCACTACCATGTGCACTACCACGGGTTAATAGAGTAGCTACTTACCTAGGAGTCGGTGCAGTAGCGGGTCTAAAGTAGCGATTGACTCCAGCAGTACTGGAGGGAATGTACCCGAATATACATACATACAAGACGTTTCCGCCGTCGATCCACGCCGCTGTTTTTTTTTTTTGTAATTTCTCACGCACCGCCGCGTGTTACGACGCAGAGGAATCATGTAGTATGTACACATTTTTCATGATATCCATTTTTCATGGAATCGCAGCAATTCCGAATATGTACACGATTTTTTCTCACTCTAAAACGCCTAGAACTATTTCAAGAAATGAAAATATTTTTTAAGGGGTGCATCGCAACTTAATACTCCAATAACTTTACCATTTTTTGATTAATTAATTTTTTAAATTAAAATAGAACTTATTTTTAGAGAAATAAAAGACCGTGTAGGTGAAGTGGTAATCAGTGCGTGCTTTCACTCCGCAGGGCCTGGGTTCAAGCCCTGGTCGAAGCAACATCGCAAAAAAATATAGAAAAAAGAATAACAGATGTTGTCCCTCGGCAGGCCTCCGTTCGGAGTCGGCGTAAAACTGTAGGTCCCTCTGCTTTGTGTGATTACATCAAGGCGTACGCCACAAATCGGAGGAGAAGCTTTTCGAAACACTAACATATGTGTAAGCGCCAATCTATTAATATTATTAAATCGTGTAACTCAAGAACTTTTTTTGTTCAGCGCTAGGCATTCAGCATTTCACCTCAACTAATTCAAGAAGGAGTTAAATAAAATTAAAATCTAAATAAGAGTTTCGAATGCTTAAGTTCCAGAGATGACATGAAAAGATTAGTACCTTCATTGCTACCTATGCTCTTTACCCCACATCTGTACCTCCTGCTAAACGTGTATTAACATCTGTAGGGACACGAATTTCGATACCATACGATATCATATCGATAGTTTTGGCGTTCGATACCGATACTTTTTACTCGATAGTTTTCAAAGGATATTTTTTTGGAATCGAGTACCAGAATCCTTGTATCGTATCAAATCGGAAAGGTGCATTATAAAGTAAATGTGACTAATAATATATTGTCGTTTATATTAAAAATAAATGTCTTTTATTAAATTCTTTTTGATATGCTTAAGGAAAAGTACATATGGGCATTAAAGAAAAACGTCAAGATTTGAAAACTCTGGGAATTGGTCAACACTATTTGTAGTAATATTTGAAATATTTAAGACTAATTTTTCAAGTTCCAAAATGTAAAAATCTTTCCTGCTTTTTTTATTAGCCGAAGTATCTGACGTCACGTTGAATGGCATTACGCTACTAACATCTCCATTGAAACTTTTTTGTTAATATTGTTTTTAAAAAAATTTTTAACGCAAATAAAATATGAACTTTACGTCGAATATATTTTTTATTTTGACTTCAGCGCACCCCAGCGGTTCCATTTATTGCAAATCTATGTCGTACTATAACGTACCGCTGAAAACGCCCATATGTCTATACTTGATATGTAAAGCAATATAGATATATTTTGGGCTTTACAGAGTCCAATATTCAGATTTAGTTTTTTGAATTTGGTGTCGATATGGGGAATATCGAATCTCTTTATCCCGATAATAATTTTATATCGATACTTTGAATGAGTACTATATTGATCCTTTAGGTTCGATATCGTGTCCCTAAACATCTGTAAAATTTCTGTTTTCACTTTGTGACGTTTTCTCATGTGGGCAACTGGCTGTCTTAACATTTCATTTCCAAAATGTTATCAATTCAATCAGATCGATCTGTTCCCAATGTAAATGGCGCGGTAAAATGAAAATTGAAGCTCTGAACACATCGAAAACGACATCACCACACGACACGACATTAAGGATCTACATAATCTAAACGCCTTGTCGACGGCGACATGATTTTTTTGAACGCGGCAGCAACATCATGAATTTGTTGGAGTTTGACATAAAAGAAGAGGAAGAATCTTATCTGTCGCTAGAAAAATAGAAATAGATCCAATCTGGCCACAGCTACATTTTTGGCTAGTCGCATTGTTGCCGTGTCGTCGCCAAAATAATTATCTACATAAGAGTACGTGTTTAAATAATTTGACAGCTGTGGTCCGTAGCCCGTCGTTTCCAACGTGTTCCAAGCTTGAGTTTCTAACTACGACGACGCCACCGCCGATTCTTTTTAAAGTTGACGTATACGCCGCCGCAAAGCCTATTGGTGTAAACCTCTAATACATAGGTACAACGTAACAACATCGCAAATGGAAAAAGTCGTGACTAATATTTTAATTTTTTTCCATAAAATGATGTGGGGAGTTTTAATTCGATGAAATCCATCATATAAATCAGAAAGTGAAGTTTGAATTTTTTATTAGTTATGACTTTTTGCGTTTCAACGATGATCTTTGTTACGTCTTTTTGCATTTCACGCCTGGTTTGATTTTATAAAACTTAAAAGCTGAAATACAATGCCGACGAACGGCGAACTCATTATAGCGAATTTCGCGCTGCCAAAATTAGAACACCCGCAAGCATATGAAATTGAGCACAGCCAAAGCGAAATGCGAAGTTCGCTCGGCGGTATTTCATGGCGTATTTCTGTTTTACTTTCAAAGTTTTAGAAGAAAACAATATAAACACGAATTATTTTTGTTGTTTGAAAAATATAGTTGTTGTAATAATCTCTCTTTGTTTTATCGTCGATGTTTTTGAAAACCACCCATCGACCAGTTACAAAACCGCCTAGTCACCGTTGTGGCAAAAATTAAATTTGGTATCCTGAACTCCAGGCATCGAGATTTATGCATAAAAATCGTTAAATCGTTATTAAAGCAACATATTTGTAAAATAATAGCTAGAGAAAATACCGCCTATCAAGGCAATGCCTTCAAAGAATAAACTGTTTTTTCGCTCTCCTGTAAAATTTGAGTGCCGTAAGATAGGCGGTTTCGCTATTGGGAGATGGGCGATTATGCAAAAACATCGACGATATATTTGTTATCAAATGCTCATTTCTAAATATGGTTTAGTTTTTTCTAAATACCAAATGGTATCAGCTGTTTTCGCTACCGCTCTAATTTTGTTAAAGTAGGCGAAATACCTGAGCGAGCTGTGGACGAAAGCATCGCCTAATTCGGCGAACTGGGGTCCCTAAATTGGAGCGCTAAGCGTTGCGTTTTCCGTTGCCAACGAGTGTCAGCGCGCGCTATCCCCAAATCAACGCGGCGTAATTTTTGACGTTTTCTCATTTCCTCTCGTTTTTATTCTCGATTCCTTTTTCACTTTTTGGTTCTTTCTATTTCTTTCCATCTTCTGCATCCAACTTCAACAAGTAACGCCCTGTCAAAAATGAAAATTCCATTTGCTCTGCGCTAGCGCCCCGTTATTGGGGATGCCCCATACAAATTATACGGGCGTGAGGATTTTTGACAATTGTTTGGCGCTTGACGCGCCAATTTAGGGACGGCAGGAAGTTTGCCGTTCGCCGGTATTGTACTTCAAGAATAATAAAGATTAACACCAATCTCTCTTTGGAAAAATGCATTAAAATTCTTCGATTTTTTTAGCGGTTTTATTTTTTCAGCGCTAGAGTAAACAGCGTTGCACATAACAAATTCAATGAGTCAGTTAAAAAGTGGTGAGCGCAAGAAAGATCCACAAATACCTACATATGTATGTACATTAGGGTGCTCCAAAAATGCATGTGAAAAAGTAAAGTCGGCATTTTTATGCTCTCACCCCCTAGGATTGTTCGATAACGAAAAAACATACCTACATATATTTTTTTATTTTGAAATCATACAATTTTTAGAGGTCGCTCAACACGCTCAAGTTTTCCATGCATTTTATGTGGAAAATACAACTTTACGTAGACATGGTATATAATATTTTCCGATGGGAAAACTCTGCTTCCCTTCAGGAGATTCCCTATAATAATACCCAATTATTTATTTAACTATTCTTTCATTGTAACTATATTTTATAGGTCCGCCAAAACTCCCATAAAAGGACAGAAAATGCAATGAGGGGATAAATAAAAAATCTTTGGTATTAAAAAATGGTTAAATAAACAATTGGGTATTGTTATTGGAAGTCTCCTGAAGAGAACAAGAGTTTTCCGATCGAAAAAAGTTGATTTTCAAGAATTCTATACCATTTCTACGAAAAGTTGTTTTTCCCATGGAAAACTTTGAGCGCTTTGAGCGACCTCAAAATATTTTTAATTTCAAAATATAGAACAATCCTAGGTTGTGAGAACAATAAAATTCCGACTTTACTTATTTTGCACCACCCTAATGCGCATACCCATATATTGTGTGTACAATGCAAGTCGCATGAAACAGCGAAATCGAATTGTGAGAAAACGAAATGTTATTGACCGGAGGAATTGTTTCACGAGGAGCACAACGAACGTTGGTGGAATGAGCAGGCGAGATTTCGAATGTCTATAAGAGAACTGGCTGGGTTGTTCTGCAGTCTAGCAAAAGCGAACGGCGTGTTAACATGTGGAGTACGGCGTGGTCGATTCAAGCAACTGTTGAATTGTGTTTAAATAATTAATATTGAAGTGTTTAAAGTTGAACGCAAGAAATGGAATAACTTAAGTCACCAAAAGCGAAATAAGTTTCCAATGCAAAATTAAAAATCAAGCAATTGAGTTCAAGGAAAATCATGAGTAATTGAGAGAAACATATTCCAAGTTGGTGGAAGAAATTAAAGAAAAGAAGAGCAAAAGCTAAAAACAAAGTAAAGAAATAAAACAGTTAGAAAAGTGATCAGAAAAACAAATTTCAATTATCCAAATAAACTGACAGTATTTTGAAGCTCAGTCCACACATGTTCATACATGCATATGTACTAACATATTTAATACACGGAGCAGGTTGTTAAGATTTTGTTAGAAAATTGGCAAAAATCCACAAATTAATTAAAATAAACAAAAGGAGCTCATAAACTTTCTTTTGTTTATACGGTATAGATGTATGTATTTAATCGAAAAACGTATTAAGTGAAGTTTTGAAGTATCTTCCCATCACTTTTTATTCATGAATTGTGTACTTTGCCATTGTTTATCCATATTTACATATCTGCAAAACGTCTTCGAACAAAAATTACGCGCACAAATTATAAAACAAAAACTTAGAAAACATACGGAGAATTTTACTCGTATTAACAGAAAATAAAAATAACGCAACGACCGGAGCTGAAGAAATTGTTGTACACAAAGGTCAACTAGTGGAAATTAGCAGCGTCAAGCCAAAGAGAAACCAAATAAATACATAGGAACAGAAAGAGCAGCATAAAAGGTTCGTTTTCTTATATTGATCCCTCTGTTGGGTAATAAAAGCGTATATATACATACATAGGTTCACATATATAAAACATGTACTGATGCACATTTTATGCATAATATGCAGTTTGATGAGTAAGAAGGGCTGAGTTCCAAGTTGGTATATTGCAAAGCATCGGCCTCTTTTATTTCTAAACTATAACTGATGGAAATGACAAATTTGCGCAACTAAGTTCCAATTCGGCCTTTGAACATGGTTGCGCATATTGGACATTTCCATCAGTTATAGCTTAGAAATAAAAGAGGCTGATTGCTTTGCCAACTTGGAACTCAGCCAAGATATCGTACATAAGATGATGCAAGATTTAGCCATGCAATGTAGGCCGAATTATCTATTCATATTAAAAATTAATTAAAGTAAATCCTTTCACGATAATTTTTAGGTTTTAAAAAGTATGGCTGACTTCGAAAACGTATCAATACAATGTTTGGATACTGTTATACTGCGGTATTCAAACTGTTTTTTATGCAGAGTTGCGAATCATTGCAACCATATACATACATTGCATATTTTAAATATTCAATATAACAATGAACAATTTTTCTGAATATTCCATTTTTAAAACACCAATGGTAACCAAAAACAAACGAAGCATCAACTTTGTTTCTGATGCGCTGATTGCTTCAGCGATGCATTTCGATAACTTTTCGGATGCGTTTTGGAAAAGTATACATTGTCGCTATTTTGTAGTTCGGCGTTATGGAACATTATACTTTGTACGTATGCAAAGCAATTCACGTTTTGGAAGTCAGCCTATATGTGTATGCATATCGCTCATTTACTTCAATAGTGTTATAACCCAAAAAAGGAGAAAAAGGGCTTTAAAGTTTTAAACTTACTATACTGCCATAGTAAAAATGAATACAAATTTTGTTCTAGTGAGATACTGGTAATCTGTACAGCCAAGGCTTTTCAAACAGGTAGATAGGTAGTAGCATTAGAGCAAAAACAAAATTTTTGTGTATTTTGTTGTTGCTTATGATATCGAAAGTGTCAAAATAGATATTTTCGTTTTAATCAAAGCATGCCATGTGAAATATAGAAAAAAAAAATTTTTGCAACTTTCTTTCATAATAAATTTGTTTGGTTCTCCAAGCGTTGATCCATCCTTTGCAGGGCCTAGTAACCAGCGTTTGTGCTGCTGAGTTAGGCGAACGTTTCGAAAAGCTGCTATTCAAGCGCTTGTTTTGTATGGAAAAAGGTTTCACATGCAAATAGATTTTAACAATTTTGAATTTTTGTAAGACATACCTCCCATGTAAACTTAACCTAAAAACCCCTTAAAATACCATAAATGATATTATTACTTTATGAGGTTCATGGGCGTAGCTCATGTAGCGTATTTTCTTCAATAAACACAGTTTTCGAAAATAAAACCAAATGGAAAACACTCATTGAGAACATATTTTTAATGCAACTTGAATATTTATAATGTTTTAATAAATTTTTTTTTCAAAATTATAAAAATATTTTTTTTAAAAGCTCCAGTTACTACGCTTACAAAAAAAAATCTCCAACTTTCGTCAAATACTTTAAGAGAAAATGAGTTTTGAAAAAAAGATTGGTTAAAAATGTAATTGCTTATAAAAACTTTAAAAATTAAAATTTTTCAAAAAAAATTCTCAGAATCCCTTCACATCTACATATAAACCTCTATACTCACAAATTTACACGCAAAAATTCCAACTTGACTGAAATCCGCCGTTCAATTGAGAAATTTTCACCCAAAGCAGAAAATTTTCCGGTAGGTTGCTTTGTACCTTATAAGTTTTGCAACGTGTTAAGTTAGAAAACCTCTCCAAGGCTCTTAAATACTAGAAAAACTGTCAAATTTCGACAGCAACTGGCTCTCTAATATTAATATATTGTTTTATATGTATTAAAAAAAGGTGAAAGTCAAGCTCAAGCTCAAGAAAAATTACAAGAAATATGTTTCATTATTTTTCTCGAGTGAAAAAGTACTTTGCCGGTGATGCGAATTTTCTTAAAGAATATTCGCTAGCTTAGAGTGCAAAGTTGCTAAGTCCATTTTTTTCAATTGTACAGGAGACACAAAAAACGTTGCTAAGTAATTTTCTTTAAGTATTTTGCAAAACTTTGAATGCAATGTTTCGCGTTTTTCATTTACCCTTTATTAAAAAAAAAATAATAAAGTCTGCTTTTTTACAAATTTTGTAGATAATTTTGTGACTTAGCAAATTTTCTACTTTTTTCTTAAATTTTTTTTGTTGGACTTAGCTAATTTTCCATAAATTTTTCCAATATGTACAATACGAAAAATCCATCTCGTAGGTACATTTGTTAGAACAAATTGTTTAGGTTCTTTTAAAAAAAAAATAAAACAAGTGAACAGTGATTTTGTTGCATCAAATGTTAAAGCTGTTTTTGATAGACTTTATGCTGATTACTATAAGTGACCATCAATTCAACGTGCAGGGATGGTATTTTCAGAGATAGTACTCGAGACTTCTAGATTTAATTTAAGCCAAATATCACCTTTAGTTTCTTTGCTATGGCTTCTTAAATATTGCAAAAAACGCGATTTTTTTACACTTTGACCTCGTTTTTTTCCAAATCTATAGCTGATGGAGACTTTATACTTACGGATTCGTAATCACCATAAAAAAGTCTATCCAAAACAGCTTTAACATTTGATGCAACGAAATAGTTTCCTATTTTTGTTCCCTTGTGTAATAGATTGGCGCTTACACATATGTTAGTGTTTGGTCGAGCTTCTCCTCCGATTTGTGGCGTGCGCCTTGATGTTGTCACACAAAGGGAAGGGACTTACAGTTTTACGCTGTTTTTCTTTGCAGAAATACACTCGGAGGTTTGCCATTGCCTGTCGAGGGGCGACCGCTGTTAAGGATAAATCTTCTCTTCACTGAACACTCACAACTTCTAGAAACACTAGTTTACTTATGTTTATGCACACAATATAAAAATTGCAAATATAGGAAAATGACAAAAAATTTTGTTAAAATTTTTTTTTTTTTTTAAAATAATCTATATATAATTGCTCAGTCATACGACTTAGTTAGGGCGATCTGGTGTAGCTACAGAATTGAGTTGTATATCAAATTAAAGTGCGAGCTGCAATTGCGATTACCGTGTTTGTCACAAAAGTAAAATTGGCAGAAAAATTAATAGTGAGCAGTGTAATCTATAGAAAAATATTTACCAAATATCCGTGGAATTTTGATCTGGATTCGTGTTATTCATAATTTCGAATTTTATTTCGCGAAAGCAAAAAATAAAAATAGCTTAGATCACTTTCTTTTTTAAACACCTAGGATATCACTGACAAATTTAAAGGGCCCAGGATGACGGTAAAATTCAAAATTCTAAAAATACCGGTATACATATTTATGTATATTAAAATTTGTAGAATCAGTGGTAGAATTTTTGTACTGAAAGTGTTAAGAAAGCTTTAGTTTAAAAGCGTGATACCAAATGCCTTTCACCATGAAACGGCGCCAATTTTAAAAGATTATTGCGTCTCAGACTACGGCTAATAAAGCCCTTGGTCGGATATTGTGAAAGGTTGGACTATACCTTAAAAATTACTGTTTTCTAGCGGGCCACTGTACGAAGCTATGCGTAGGGTAAAGCCCTTTAATAACTTCAAAATTATCTTGGGTTATCAGGTCTCTAGCAATACAAGATTAATTGTTGTCTTTCGCGAAGTTCTTTAAATAAATTTTGAGCTAAATAATGAGGTATATTCATGAACATCACGTTTTATTTTTTACTTAAGTTTAAATACTTAGTATCTGCAAGTATTTCTTTAATGCATTCACCCGAATTTCGGGGGGCTATTACTAGTTTGTTTATAATCTGAATGATTTTCATCATATTATTATCATAAATCAGTAATAGCAAGTCTCGCCTTCAATTTGGTAATTATTACGTGCCGATCGAGTAACATTTACCAAAGTTATATCGAAAAACTTAAGTGGATCTCCAGTTTTTTTCTAAAAAAAAATCTCTTCAATTTTATATATAACCTTTAAATGAAAGAACCGGATTACAGAAAAGTATGCCAGGGAGTGACTTTTTTCGTTCAAGCTGAATGCAAAGCAATATCGTTCAATTGCAGAGTCCTCAAAAGGATTCTCCAGGATATGTTAAAGAGTATTGCATTTACCTACCTACAGTTACTTTTTTACATAATGTAATTAACTAAAATATTTATGTAAACACTTGTTGCACGTCCCCTACTTTCATATAACGGCAAATTTAGAAACCACGAAAATGGACTTAAAATGGGCCCTAATTGTATTATGTTAATGTATGCAAATACTTATATTTATGCTTGCAACTACTATTAACTTATCAAACGATTCCTAATCTTTGACAATACATGTTTGACTTCATTCACCACGATCTTGAAAACTGACCAAATCGGCGTGACCAAGTCCATGGTAATTTTAATATTATATAATCATCCGAAAGCATTAAAACGTTTGAAATAAATCTCGTCTCACTTTTTTGTATTTTTCACTTGGTTGCTGAAGTAATGAAGAATTGAAAATTCATAAGGGAAAATTATAGTTTTCTTATTTTTTATTTTAATATCTTTAAAATTTGTAGACTTATTGAAAAATGATAAATAAATGTGAGGTACTAAATTTAATAACCCTTAATTTGATATATCGTCCTGTTTATAACAATTAACGCATTCCATAGATATTACAAGCCAAAGTTTCATTTTCAAAATTCATACACTTTGATTCAATTGCTCGGGCTAAAGATAAGTTTTAAATTAATCTTTCTTGGGCAATAACATTTGGCTTAGACCTAAGACATCATAATAATACTATTACAATACGGTCAAATGCCTTTTATTATCCCCCATACAAAATCGACCCAACCTAATATACATAAATAATGTTGTTGCAAAAACCCTCTATACAAATCGAATTCGATAGCGTAAAAAGAAATATTCATATTTT